GACATCTCAGCAGTGGTGATGGTGCGTCTCCGTCACGAGAAGCTACTGGACTTATTTCCACCTTTACCTCATGGGCTGCTTTTAAGGTGGAATGTTTAATCAGTCAGCTTAGATCGTTGCGTCAGTGCTGATAGATCTAATTTAGTCTGAACTTTGAAGTGAGGCGCTGATCTGAGGCCAGGCGTGATGATGCGTTTCTGACAGAAGGACGCAGCGCTGCCGCCCTGAGCGTCTTCGCCCCAATCCACTGAAGAAGAACAACCCCAGGTTTGTAGCCAGGCTGACAGTCAGAGCTCTGTGGAGCCAACCATCCCTTTAACGTTAGCAAGACTATTAATAAGAACTGATGTTAAGAAATAATTACTACAGAAGAAGAAAAGTGGTGGTCGGCCTCCCTGTGAACCGCCCTCAGAGGTGATAAAGATTGAACCAGGTTTTTTTTCAAATGGATAGAATAGAATAGAATAGAATATCGTTGTCACATGTACAATGTGATGTAGAGCATCTACTCAGTGCAGACATGTAGAAATAAGGAGGTGAGGTGCACAGTTCAGCTGCACTGTATACATATGAATCAAAAGATATCAAATATAATTGTTAGAGGCTTTGTAATTAATCTCAGTTAATCACACAAGAAAATCTGCTCCGAAGCACAAATGTTTTTTTAATTTTAAAGGTGTGCGACAGAATCAAATAATAGACATGACTATTGTAATCTCAAGCTCTTTTAATTTATGGGGAAAAGGCATTTAAACTACATTTCAATTCAAAACAGAGAAACAAAAATAATATCCCTGGATAAAATTGACTTAAAATAAAGTGTTACTTTAAGTACATTTCCAAAATGATATTGTCTTTAAATAATAATAATAATAATAATAATAAAAACATAAAGTGCAGTTTTTCTTCTTGCACTCTTCACCTTTAAACTCTGAGTAACTTCAGCCAACATTAGTTTGTACATTAGGCTAAAACAGTGTTAACAAACTGTTCACATGTTCAGAGCAGCTCTAATTTTGTTGCTATGTTACTGTAGGTGAGAACAGTCTGTCACATGGGACAGGAGTGGCAGGACCAATCAGATACTTGCAGGCCAGGACAGAAGGTGTGGGTGGGTCGCTGCTCAGCTGGACCACCACTGCAGCCGTCTGTCTGGCTGATGGTGCATTCTGCTGTGTACAAACTCAGGGCCAGGCCAGCCACAGGGCTTCCTCGTCTGAATCAGAGAGGAGGCTCTTTGTCTCTGCTGGCTCCTCTGTGGTGGCGTTGTCACACTGTTACTGCAGCAGGGCTGGTCCAAACCTCTTCTCCCTCTCCCTTTGCAAGACGCGCTAAATCAGTGGTTTCAAACCTTTTTTGCACCACGGTCCGGCCTTTGAGGTGTCCCAGATAAATACAACAAAGTAAACTGACAGGACCGAGGCATAAACGGTGGTATTTTAAATAATAAACGCAAATTTACTGTGTACTTGTGTAACTTTATTAGCGCATCCTCCTGAAATGCGCCAACCACATTGACAGTAACAGCCTCCTCTCTGCCCCTTAACGCTCTCTGGTTGGTTTCTTTCAAAAAATAAGACACAACTACAACACAGGAAAAGACCCAGGGAAACAGAGTTAACGATAAAAAACCTGAAAACCATCAATTTCACACCCGAGCCTCAACTCTCGCAGTCCGGTACCAAATGACAGTGGCCTGGGGGTCCGTGGCCCGGGGGTTGGGGACCACTGCCTTAAATCCTTAAAGTAAACCCTTAAATAGCACAGCAGCTATCGGGAGCCACTGGTGGTTGGGACAGGTCCTTTGTGAAGGCGGTCTTAAATTTCACCGTGTAGTTTGAGTCATCATCAGAGACCTCCATGGTGTGATGCAGGTGGCAGAAAGCAGGTAAAACCACTGAACATGAGACACGTCAGTCACACTCCTGTAGTAGACAGCTCAACAAAGGCATCATTCATCTCCACAATAACTGTCAACTACAGAGTGTTTTGAAGAAACAGTAACAATGAGTTAAATAGTTTTATTTACCTGCATGGCTCAACAACAGTGGCCAGCTCTGGTGGTTTACCAGCTCTGGTGGAGTTAAAATGACCAGCTGGTGCTTTTGTTTGTCTAAAGCAGCAAAAACAACCTCTTGATACTTTAGCAGACGAGACACCACACCCAGGGTTGGAGATATCCTGTATGAGTGGCTCTTCTGTTGCCCCAGTCTTGTAGTTCCTCCATATTTGCAGGGCTGTCTGTAATACGTCTCATTTTGCTTTTCAGTGTCAAAAAGCTGAATTTTACTTTAAATAGTCTTTCAGGCAGTTGGAAAGTTGGATCAGCTGACGCAAACTGTAGCACCCCCTATCTTCTACCACTGGTAGTGGTCTACAGTCCAGAGCAATCCATTATGGGAGATGGTAACATAGTTTGTCCGATGTTGACTAATTTTGGTCATCTCATCGGGTTTGGTCGGCTCTACAGTTCCTGTGCTCACTGAAACATGTTTTTTTAGATGGTACCGTAAGGTTGAAATGCTTTGGGTGGTATCCAAACTCATTTTTGCAGTTTGCACAAAACCTCACTTTTATCAAAGCTTCCATTGGGTAGTGTTTGGAAATGAAATTTGCCTCTGATCAGCAATGTGCTTTCTTCTGATTGTTTGTAGCTTTGTTTTGTGCATCACTGTAATTGGTGTAAAAGGAAATCATGCACTGACAATAGTTCCCCTTTGCTTGGAATGCATTTTTTTTAAATGAATTAATCACAATTAACGCATTAAAGTCCCGCAGTAAAAATATGAGAAAAATAAACAGTGTTTGCATTTCCAGTGTGGGCTGTTGCAGGTAAGTTAGTGCACAGTAGTGATAGTGGTGTTTGTAGTCTGTGCATTACATGAATAAAACCATGATCCACCCGTCAGTGATGATCCTGTCGGTCAGTTTGCATCACAGACTCTGAGTCCTCGTCCCGCTCTGACGCCGGTCTTTGTGTGCAGGCTCGTCTGCGATGCTGCTGCAGTGCATCGCCGTCCGAGCTGACGGACCAGACGGGGGCGCTCTGCTGCAGCACTGCACCACCAACAGGACCAGAACCAGAATCATCCGCCCCGCCCCCAAACTCTCCGATGAACCCACCCCAGCCAAGTCCAGGACCCAGAGGAGACGGTCGGTACCTCAGAGCTCCAACACTGACAAACAGAGTCGCCGCCGCCACGAGTCATCTGACACTGACCAACAGGAGGAGGCGGAGGTCATGACGGTGGAGGAGGACGTCACAGCTGACCCCACCTGGACTCCATCTGAAGGAGGTGAGTCAGATTTTACTGACGTTTAATATTTGTAGCTTAAAACTATTAAGTTCATTATTCACACTTTATTTAGACTCGTTTAACTCGACTTTAACTCGTCGTGAGGTTGTTTTTTACTCTTGTGTAAGTCAGGATTAATCTGATGTTGGTTTAGCTCCTCTCGTGTCCCTGCAGGTGTTGCGCTGCCCGCGGCGCCAGGAGCCCTGCGGGCAGACTCCCAGGATGTGGCCGCAGTGAAGCTGGAGCTCGACAGCACCGTGTGCGACGTTTGCGGCAAAGTGATGAAGAACAAGTCGAGTCTGGCTCGCCACTCCTTCATCCACACGGGGAAGAAGCCGTTCGCCTGCCACCTGTGTGAACTGCGCTTCAATCGCCGCGACAACCTGCAGCACCACCTGAATCGGCTGCATCCAGACGGCGTCGCCAAGCGGGAGAAACAGCGGCAGGTTCAGGCGTGGCTGTGTGCCGTCTGCGGCAAGACGTTCAGCTGCCGCTCGCGGCTCAAGACGCACGAGGTCATCCACTCGGGGGTGAAGCCGCACAGCTGCGACCTCTGCCCCAAGGCCTACATGAGGGCCAACGACCTTGAGCACCACAAGAAGGTCGTGCACGTGGACGGCACCGCCGAGCCCCCGCGGCCGAGCTCGCTGCTCTGCGACTTCTGCGGCAAAGAGTTTAAGTGCAGGTCGCAGCTCGCCGTCCACTTCCAGACGCACACAGGTGAGCGGCCGCACCTCTGCGACATCTGCGGCCGCAAGTTCGCTCGCCAGTACCAGCTCAAACGCCACAAAGTCCTGGTCCACAGCAACCA